GATGATCTCCTCGTAGGGTTGAAAATCGCTTTCGCCGACATACGCGACAAAGGTCGAGCTCTCAAGAGTGTTGTCGTGGTTTCTCAAGCCGTTCCTGGGTCCACTACGCGCGACCAGGCTTTGAAAACCGAGAGAGGAAGAGATTTCTTGAACGCAATCAACGATATCATTGCACTTGGCACACCAGTCGTCCTTGCAGCGGGCAATGAGCGTGATGCAGATGAGGGCACACGCGAGGACATCGATTTGCTGCCGCAGGTTTTGGAACATCCGGATATGACGCCCATCATCAATGTCGGTGCCGCGACAATCTCGGGAGATCGAGTCGAAGACTCGCAGGGGGGACCTCAGCTATCTATTTACGCGCCTGGCAACCTGGTCTTTTCTCTTACGAGGGACAGCAGAAGTGAAATCTTCCAGGGCACCTCCGTCGGTAAGCTACTTTGCCCGTACCCATGATAGGATCGCTAACTATACATATAGCTGCTCCTGCTGTTGGAGGACTTATTGCGACATACTTAGGAATGGAGGATATCCCTTCCGAGTTCCGTGACTCAACCGGAATTGAGCGAGTCAAAGCGATTCGTGAATACCTCAAGTCCGACAAGTCAAGCTGGGTGCATAAACCAGGGACCGAGGTTCGCATGATCTGGAACGGAGCAGACGAAGACGCACATCGCGTCAGATTCGATTGTTACCCGGAGGTCAGTAGCGAGGATGATGGTACCGGATCCAGTGACTGTCTTGAATACATGCCTGCAACCCCGCCAGTTGTTCCGGCTCCCGAGCCAGAGTCCGTATCGGCTGTCTGCAGCGTCAAACCGTCGTTCGGTGGTGGGGAGTATACTGTATGGGGGGCAGGGTGGGCAGACGACGATGGCGCGAGACTAAAGCAAGACCTTGGTGGTGCCGGCGGCGGAGTCCAAGACTTCGTCTTCAATCGAGGTGCCGGAGATGGAGGACGTGAGTGGACGGCTACATTCGTCGGCTTGTTTGAAGCTTTGGCTGCTGAGGGTGTCATCGATGCTGTTGCAGGTCATGGAGTCAACGTGGTGTGTGCTGCTGCTTGAGCATACGATTGCTCGACCCAGCTGCTCCGTTTTGGAAAGTTGGCAAGCACTTTTCTTTCTGTCTTGCTTTGATCGGTCTTTTCTTCGGTCATTATCTTGGGTATCTGGGGCGATTGCTTTCATTCTAAGAGAGACAATTTACCTGTTCATGTCATGCCTAGCAGCGCTTGCACTGCGATTGCTGTTGCCAGGGTATCTGCCTTCGTCCTTGTTTGCCACCTCTGTAAGAATGACTGAACACTTCTCTTTGGCGTGTTCTTCTCGATTATACACAAGCGCCAATAACTGTAGAACTAGTCCAAGATCAGTTAAATTGTCCACCCCCTCCGAGCAGCGGGTCGCCCTCAGGAGGGGTAGACGGCGCTGTTGTCGTAATGCAAGGCCGCCACCTCTTTGCTGCCTGTCGAATTCACTATCACCCACAATGTATATATCTACTCGCTTTAAGAGTCTTGGTATTATATACATAACGATCATCAGAAAATCTATCCGGTCATTGCCAGAAGATATCTCCCACTGCCACTGGCCTTCACGAAAGGCAAATAGTCACTCTCAACATGCCCACTTCCGCCCCAACCAGGAGCCTGAACGAGATCCTCGCTATCATTCACAACCCCAACTTGACAACTGGCTACCCCATCGGCGATATCACGTACTACGCTAAGAACCTTGGAGCCGAAATCGTTCACAAACAAATCCAGCTACGCAACATCCTGTCGCCACAGTCAGGGGTTTTCGCAACACACTGGGCTACGAAAAGAGCGCACCAACGAGTTGGAATACTCCAGCGAGTATACCCCGATATTCCCAGATGTCATCGTCCAGAGTGCTTCGGCGAGGACGGCTACCACTCCCTGGTGGCCTTTTCTGGCGTACCTTCTTTGGAACGAACTCTACCGTTCATCAACCTTGAGGACTTGGGCGACAAGACAACACTCTCAGCTCTAGTCGAGGCTCGCAGTCGTCAGCCGCCTCATACTTTTGCCACAACCGAGCGCTTATCCATGCCTTTGGGCTTTACGGACGATCATCGCGCGCTCTCACATGTGATTCGCCTCTGCGATAGGGACGGATACGGCGAATCGGAAGGATTTGAGAGTGTCACTGAGGCTGTAGACTTTGTAGACGATGGATTTGGCTTAGACCTTGGCAATGGTCTTCAAGTTCTACACGCTCAACAGTTCCTCTACTCTTTCTTGCTCCAGTGCGTTCGAATCGTCTTGTCGGATCATTTGGAACTATTCGAGACTGAGATCGATGACCCAGAGCCTGACGCGCTGGACATCGTTGATGAAGAGGATAAGGACATTGCGTTCTCCGAGGCTACTACCATGACACCTTACCGTGGTCGCCATGGTCTTCATCTACACAGACTACGTCGCTGGACGTCGAACGCAGCCAATACGGCCAAGGATGAGATCTGGCAACTTCGCGAAGATCCATCGCAGTTCGAAAAAGCCTACAACAGTGCTGTCGACCATGACGTTGCTCAGGTGGCCGATCGCCACGGGAAAGCGCATCCTAATATCAAGAGCAAAGGCTTCGTCGCTAGCACCCTGAACATTCTAGTGGCTCGTCGTCACCGACGGTTGGTATGTTGGGATCAACTTGACGCTTATGCTCGGCGTATCGGTGAGCTTTTCTCTCTCCACCCGGAAGGTGTGCGCGCTTGGTCACTCGAACCCGAAGAACTCGTGGAGGCTATCCAGTCGTTCCACGTGCTACTCGAGCTCATGAAGCGAGACGTTCTCGAAGAAATGAGTCGATATTCGGCTAGCGAAGAACTTCGATCGCAGTTTGTGAGGCTTCCGCTGTCAACCGGATCACACCTGTCAGCACACAAGAACTTCATGAAAGATCAGAACAAGAAGGAGATTTGCCTTCTTCTTCAAGAGTTATGTGGTGAACTCAACAACAAGAGCGAGCATACAACGTCTTTTCTTGAAATCCGAGTACGTCTTGATATCTTAGAGACTTTCCTTCAAAAGAAGCCCAAATTACGAGACCTGCTTAGCACGACGATCAAAGAGGCAATTGCACGGCTCTCGGTTCTGACGGAGTGCTCACATCTCCTTGAACTTCAACCGTGGAACTTCAAAGTCTGGAAGATGCTAGCAGTGACCGAAAGCGTCAAAGCCAGGGTCAACTCACGTGTGGCTGAGCCCTTGCAGGTGTGGGACCGTGTCCTCATAGCGGCCATGGATACTGGGTTTATCACTTCCCCAGAACTTGGTGATCCTTCCGATGGAAAGTTCACGTACCCTTACGAAGAAAGCAGACGGAAGAAGAAGGTAATTGATGCGCTGCGTAAAGCAGAGGCCAATTTAGACAGGTTCTGGAGAAGCTTTGATACGGATTTTCGGAACCGATCTGGAGGAGAGGACCAGGAGACCCTCCGCCGCCTTCTCGAAGAGCGTGGTGCTATGCGGCGAACAAAAGCGTGGGTAAACGATCGTCCCGAGAAAGAGACCGGTCACCTCTCTGCGGAAGATGTTTTCGAACCTCAGCCGGTATCTCAGATCTTCCACGACCCATCGAAAGAAATTACGGGAAACCTGGATAAATTTGCCATAGCAAAGAAAGCAAAAGACAAAACCCGTGGAACAGCTGCCGCCGTGCCCGCCGACGAGCCTGACATTGAAGATGAGCCCGCTCCCGATACGTTTGTCGATCCTCTTCGGCCGTGGACCCGTCTCGGAGACAATTCATATAAGGTTCTCAAAGCGCTTTTCTTCATCCCAGATGAAGACAAAGTACCAGGAGTGACCAAGTGGGCTGCTTTCCGTACGACGATGACCCATCTTGGCTTCTCCGCTGAACAAATGCAAGGTTCTGCGTGGCAGTTCACTCCATCGGAGCAGCTCAGACAGGACAGAAGTCTTGACAGGGGCATCTGTTTCCATGAGCCTCATCCGGGCAACGAGATGTCGCTTGCCATGATGCGGACGTTGGGTGCAAGGCTGACTCGCGCGTATGGTTGGGATGGCTCGATGTTCAACCAACAATAAGGTTGTCGATATAAACAACACGCGGTTCACTATCTTACACCAGCGAGATGTACGCTATCATCAATCTCGCGCGAATAACGAGTTGCCGCTAAAGAGAGCGAGGATCCTTGGTCGGAGGCTGACGCGGGCTTGCAATCGGGATGGCATCATGTTCGTACTATCGCGAGTGGAAAAACGCAGCGTCCATCTCGCGAGACAATTCTGAAAAACAGGATTGCGGGTAGTAGTAGGTTACATTCGCACAATAGGTTTGACAATGTCTAGCATCTAGTCGCGCTGGAACGCGTCGGAGCCAATGAGATCAGCGCAATATAAATGTGCAGCATGCATTTGGCTGGCGATGTGACAGCTGCTGTTGTAGTGTTTAGCTTACCCAAAACCTTTAACGGTCCTTCATGAGTGCAGATAGCCGATAGTCGATAGAAGCTTTCGAAGTCGTGTTTTGTATATCGTTCACGAGATCGTCGATCGACAATTCCGCCCCCAAACGCTTTCCCCTTTGGGCTCTAGCGCTGACGCTGACCCCCTGTGGAACCTTGGCATCTCCTCCGCACTTCGCGACTTCCGTCTTATCGCATACAAACAGATCTCTCTCGCATTATTACTGGGCAAACACAGCCCGCGTCTTATATGTCTAACGGCTCTCAAGACTAAGAGGCTCTGCCAGGTAACCAGCGGAGATCGGGCCGCCATGAGTGGGTCGCCGGGCGTAACGAGGCTATGCTGCTGTTTGTGACCGCTGCATCCGCAGCGCGTAACATGGAGCCAAGTCTTCCTGGGGTTACTATGGTTGCCTGAATGCACTCAGCCTCTAGATATGTCTTCCCCAAATACCTAGGTACTCTGCGCGATCTACAATTCCAGTCAGACTGCCTAATGACCTGCGTGGGAGCCGCAATCCGGAGTTTAATGCGCAAACAGCATGTCGCATTCAAACACTAGTCCATCGTCAGAACCGCGCGAACGTTATTCATGGATATCGCTTCCTGAGAGCGATACCTTAAGCGGCATCACGCAGCATGAACACGCCGAACAGGGCGACGGCGTCGACCGCACTCGCAGGCCTGAAACCCGAGCTCAAGAGCAACGCGAACACACCGATTCGTCTCCTCATGCTGCTCAGGAAAACGAGACGCTTCTCTCCAGCCGAGCATCTACCGCACTCAGTGGAGCAATCGATGACCACTCGCTGGATGAGCCGCAAACAAGGAACTTCGATGATACCCATGAGCGTGAGTGCAACGCCGAGTACCCCAAGTTACTATGTCCGACATCTTCTGACGAGCTTAAAGCAAAGTTTCAAGATCAAAGCCTGCGGACATCCACAGATTGGGTGCCATACACGCTGCGGCGCCCATACCTGATCACTCTTAGCCTAGCATCACTCATACTCTCGACCGTATTAGCAGCCCTTAGCTGGCACTCTTATAAAAACCATGGACTCGGAGATGAGGATGGGTCTACTGGACTACTCATTGGATGGAGATATACGCCTACTATCGTCGCCATTTTCTTCACGCAGGCTGTTGTACAGGTTGCAGAGGATGTAAAGAGGACTGAAGCATACGCACGCATGGCCGGCCCCGAATCTATCGAAGCCAAGTTCACCCTATTCTATCTGCCCAAGGTCTGGTGGAAAAGCATCTTTGTAGGTTTCTCTCGAAAGCGGAGCGGCGGCCACCGGAGATGGAATCTGGCCTTGTCTTCGCTCGCAGCTGGTATCAGTGTGCTCAGCATTTCAACCTTCTCGTCGTCCGTATTCGTTGCGAAAGAAATCTTGTATGAGGAGGATGTGCAGCTTCAACGGTATGCCGCTGGCCAGACAATTGGCGAAGACTTGTCACCCATTCAGCTTTCACCTCGAAGGGATACGTATCTCCGAACTATAAGTGGATATCTCTTCAACGTATCTACATCTATCTGGTCGTCGAATTCGCAAGTCATTGTACCTTTTGGAGCATCAAATGGCGACAAGCGCCATGCAACGCTTCCGAACGGTATATGGCAAGCAGATACTGAGGTGTTCCATCTAAACTACAGTTGCACATCGATGGCTCTGGTCGAGAAGGACATAATCGATATTACCTACAAGTATACAGACATCCCGATAACGTCATGTCCAAACGACACATGTACTGTCTCCTCAAAGGGTTTCAAAGTTCGATCAGAGGATGGTTGTGAGGTCCAAATCCAAGGTCCAATCGCTCAATGGGATGCTTTGGGAGCCGAGTTGAACTCCGATGGCTTCATTAGCGATACCTTTACAGATGATGGTGGCTTGCTCTGGACCAACATGTCTTCCAATTACGTGTCGTGGGAGACACTTATTCGAGATTACGGTCAGCCTCCAGCAATTCGCTCCATTGGAGAGAAGGTCCTCGAGCAATGGTCTCGCACGTTCATTTATGGTTTCTCCGATCAATGCATTGGGCGTGACCTGCTACTTGTATCGCCTCAATGGATTGTCCGGCCGTCACCTGTCGATGTGCCCGTGGGTGTATGGGAGAAAGAATCATGGGACAACCTCACGATACGGGCACAAGTATGCACTCCGGAATATCATACAGCTAGCCTCCCAGTCTCTGCATCCATCGACGGCGCTGAAACTTCCATGTCCTTCGATGTATCAGAGTTTGAGCGACGCAGGCAGCCTGTGTCGAAACAAGCCATCGATTTCGACTTATTGGATGATCTCACTTTTCGCAGTGACAGTTGGGACAAGGTAAGTTCTGACTGTACGAAGTGCATGCGAGACATATACTGACATCGTACCTCTACCTCCAGTACATGGCCGTACCTCGTAATGTTCATGGTTCTTTTGAGGGTATATCGTTGCTTCTTGCTTCAACTTTCGCTCACAACGTATCCAATATTTTGGAGAACGTCACGTTAGAGGAAGAAGCTAGCAAACTTCGGATGCACTTCACAAAAGAGCTTTTGCTCTCTTCTCTCATAGAAGCCGACAACCCACAATTGGAAGATACAAAAGGGCTTGCTACACGCGTTAGGAGACGGATTCTGGTCGTCACTGAGGTTGCAATAACACTCGCAGTATTGTTCATGCTCTTGGCAGGCTACATTGCAGTAGCTGCATTCTACACATCGCCCAGGAAAAGACCACTCAACCTCCATTCAGATCCTACCACCGTTGCTGGAACATCATCCCTCCTTGGCAGTACTTCGCTTTCTTCTACCACGTTCAGTACATTCCTTGGATATGAAAGATCGCGCACGCAAGGTCTTATCCAATCACGGGTATATCATCTACAAGGCGGCATCATTTCAGAGAAGGAAACGACAGGGGAGTCGATTGAAGGTAGAAAGCCGAATGTACTCGGCAAGACAAGCGAGCTTTCAGTAAGCCATCCCAGATCAAAAGATGGCTCTCAAGATGACTGGAGGCCTTCAATGCTCCTCAAACGATGGCTTCTTACACTACTGGCTACTCTGATCGCTGTCGCAACAACCATGTTCGTTCTTCGCAGATATGCACGAGAAGATAAGCTTTCCCAGACTGCTTTTACCTACCAGGTCGATTTGGGTTTATTCGACACGTCGTTCTCTCCTCACTCTGTCGTTGCAACGCTAATCGCCGTTTGTATTGGATTGAGTTGGGATGGTATCGATAAACCTATGCGAATTCTGCAGCCATATCTCTCGTTGTCGCGGAAACCCGTTGTCCCAATACGAGGAGCATCGTTGACTTATCAGTCTTCATACTGGATATGGGCTGCGGCAAAATCAGCGTCGCGGAAACATTGGATGCTTTGTCTAATAACTACTGGTACAACCTTAACACAAATCCGTAAGCATTTTCTCGCTCCGTTGAGTCGTGTAGCTAACCGTGTAGTCATTATCTCCATGGCAGCCGTCTTCGAAAGACAGACCGCATTGATTAGTCGGGAAACTTGGGACCCATCACATATTGATACACTTTGGGTGACAGCACCTTTTGAGCTTCTACAAGAGCCTATCGACTTTTCCAACCCAGGCGAACGGACGCGCAATTTCGACTTAGACGAGCATATGTTGGACTCATCCAATATTCAGTGGCTCAACCACGCGTTGGACGAGATCCTTCTAGAAGCACCGCAACTGGCGTGGACTAAGGACGAATGGACGTTTACCCCACTTGATATGCAAGAGCTGCCAAACGTCACAGTGTCCTCGAAATCGCGTTCCGGTTCTGGTAGACATACAAGCTCCAATTCTATAGCGTCACCCGCAAACGCGTCTTTCATCACTTCCGCTATCCGAAGTCGATTAGAGTGCTCTCCGATCGCCGTACCAGACTCCGGCTGGCTTGACCAAGCCGCAGACGTTTTCCCCAATCGTACCAATGAAGCGCTACAAGGATTTGCATTACCAACTACTCTATTCGACGGCGAATCGTACAACACCTCTGTCTTCTCGGCCCGGAGACGGTTATCATGCTGTGCCAATGGCACAGATCCTGGTCAGCAAGCTGTCGTTGCGTATTGGAGCAGCAACAGCTCGATGATTGAACGTGTGGATCCCAATTTCTTCATACAAGAATGCACTTATGAACAACTTACCAATGGCAACTGCACGAGTGCCAATGCGCCGTCCGATTCCCTCAGCGAGGATGGACCAGAGGATGTCATCGTTCAAGGCTCTTGGTGCCGTAACTTTACCATCAAGTGGATCGTGGGGCCAGGTGTGACTGCGAAGATATCTGGAGCTAATCCAGCTGCGAACCCGAAGGTACAACAAATTAGCGCACCGTACGGCTCTGCAGATGAAGAGCTTCTCTACTTCACGGAAGAGCCCAAGATGGCTATAATGGACTGTATCATGGTCATCGAAAATACATCCGCCAGTGTTACTGTAGCTAGGAGTTCTGGGAACGTTTTGGACTACAGCTTGGTGGCGGACCCACAGCCTGCTCTGGACGCATGGGATTACGCCTGGGATATCCTGTACCCTAGTCCAACATCCTACACAGGAAGAGGAAATGTCAGGTAAGGCATCCATCCAATTGAGTCGCTATCTCGAGCGTGTTCACCACAAATCAAGTGCTGACCACCACCGCTACTAGTTACGGCCATCTATTCATGACGCAGCTCCTCACCGCCCCACACATCATCACACCTCACATAGCACATTCCTGGCTATCCTATAACCGCAGCATCGAAGAAACAGCAAGCGAACGCTTCAACATTCGCGACCGGGATCGTGGCCTCAACGTCGACTTCATGTCCTACGCAAACTGGAACCTTGCCAACAAAGACACCGAATCCCTGCTAAATACAACAACGCTCTTGCGACATTCCGAGAAGACGTTACAAATCTTCTTCAAACACATTGTCAATAGCGGGTCGTCGAGTCTCAGCGGGCGCTGGTCATCTTCAGGGCCTGAGAGAGCAGCCTACCAGCGAGCCTCGTCACAGCCTGTGAATGGGACGTTTACGAAACGGGTTGAAGTTCTTGCTATGAATGAGACGGCAACGTGGCTCTCGCTTACCATACTCATCCTACTTATCGTTATCCTGATTATTCTGGTCGTGAGCTTGCAGATCGTATATCCGAGCTCATGCATGCAACATCGCGTCGAGTGCTTGGCAGACGCACTGGCTATGGTTGCTGGAAGCGAGGGGCTGATCGGTTTGATTGAAGAGCAGGGTGTTGACGGCTTTGCTAAGAGTGGTAGACTGACTAAACTGGGTTGGTTCAGAGACGCGCGGGGAGATGTCAGATGGGGTGTTGAACTCGTGGATGCAGAAGGTGTGGAATGGGTTGATGGACCAGAGAAGGTTGCCTCGGCTGGACACGATGAGGAGTCTTCGATTCAAAGCGGAGAAGTAGTCGATGCGAGCAGTGTGCTTTTGGAAAGCGAACGAAGGTCACCTTCGCCACGACGTTCCGTTCAGGAGCAACACACAGAGCCAATGCTGGAACCCAGCGATGTCGCCAACAACGCATCGAGGCCATAGAGCAATGAAACCCTTGACTCTCGAATAACTGGCCATGTCTAATCCGGTGCTGTCTACGTGTATCCCATTTCCTACTCCGACACGTGTTCACACATCTGTCATATATGCATTCACTCGCCCAGCACAAGTGAGGCAAGCGAGGCGGACAGGCCAGCCACACCGGAAACACTCGGCAACCAGGCCCACGCCAACACCAATGGGTACAGTACCGGCACTTTCCATTTTCCTTACAGTCCCGAGGCCACGGTCTGGAATCTTGGGAAAAAGGAACGGTGGATAGCGTCATGCCCGCAGTTGTAGTGTGGGGGTGAAACGACTAAGTGCTGTAGCCCGAATTAGGATGTCGCCCTATGCAGTCAGACAAAAGCATGCACGCAAGCTCAGGCCAATGCTGGCGTCCTGCATCACATTTGCGGTGAACCAGTACAGGGTAACGGTGAGGAGGGTAGAAGAGATGTGATTGTGGTCATATCCTACACGATACCAGCAGGCTAGCTGCAGTATCCGATCTGATAAATCCCATCAGGCCATCCATCCATCCCAACTCAGCTATGTAGATAAGAAAAAGGGAGAGAAAGATCCATCGCTGCGTAGTTCATGATCCATACGTCCATCATCATAAGCGTCGTAGCCGTTGCCAACACATCGACCTCTGCTTACTTTTTTTGCGAAATAGCGGAACGAAAAAAGGAAACCCCACCAAACATTTCTGCCACGTACATGATCCAGCCATAGCAAGTAGAAAAGGAGATAAGGGTATTACATCCGCCAAAATCGAGAAAAAAGTGCCGAAAAGCCTCCGCGAGGAGCAGGTATAGTGCAGGGTAAAGAAGAAGTAAGAAGAAGGGGGGAATAATGTGGGGAACGCTCAAAAAAGGGCGCGACGAAAGGCAGGAAGAAGATAACCGTACAATCTGATCGGTCCAAACAAGAAGTTCAATGGCGGTGACCGCCCTTACGCATTAGATGTTGGTGTGCGTGAGCGTTTCCAGTCTAGCAAACCATAGTAATGTGACCTGCACTGTCGCAGGGAACGCAGCAAACATACAAACATGGAATGCGAGTGGGCAATAGTGCCAAAATCGAACTTTCGATGAAGAAACCGATCCGAACTTTTTTGTTGAGCAGGTCTGCCAAAAAGGCCTGTCCGCGCTCGTGGAAAGCTTTTGATATGGAAATCATCCACCCAAGTAAAATAAGAAGAAAGGAGAGAGATCTGCCGCACCAGACTGAGCATAGGAATGTACGTGTGGCCTGCAGAGAAGAAAATCAAGGTTGGGCCACGCATCTTCGTTTCGCGCGCGAGGGTTAGAGGTTCGGAGATTCTCAGTTGTAATACGAACTGGTGTTAGCGCGGCGACGTAAGGGTCGCTGAACCTCAATAATTCGATCGTCGTAAGAATCTCGTAGTGCTCGGCTTTCGCGCCTACTACGGTGGCTGCGCATGCTTCCTTCGGTGTTCTCGTCTGGCTTCCGCCGTACCAGTGCCAGTCCGTCTCCTGCGTTGCTGCCTCTTTCACTGCTGTGATATGTGCTCTCGTTATCACGGCTTCCGCTGATGACGAGCTCTGCCATACCGTCCTCGGTCGGGATGAGTTGCATGGTGCGACCCTCCATGTCGCCATTGAACTGCAGGCTGAGCGGGGCATTCGCATCAACTCGGAGGCGAATCTCGTTGTTACCGTTGCTAGTGACAGCAGTACGGTTAGACTGGCTTTGCCTATCACTTCCAGAGGAGCCGGAATGAGAGGGCATCGAAGGAACCCTCGAAGCTCTCTTTGCAGCACGATGAATGTGATCATTCAGCGGAACATCCGTGCCACGTTGGCTATTAATGTAGTCCAAAGCCTGACTTTCTTTGGCTTTGCGCACCCCAGCGTCAGTAGGACGGCGATGGCGAGGAGGCACCGGTGCTTCGGGAACGACGAGAGCGACAGCTTCATCAGACTCATACTCCTCGTCGCTATCGTCGAACGCCGCGGGAGGCTGGTAGTAGACCTTTGAGTTGCGCTTTTCGCGTTTGCGCTCCTGCTCAGCCTCATAGCGAGCTTCGTTTTCCGCTTGTTTTCGAGCTTGTCTTTCACGCTTGGCACGGGCCGCAGCTTTGAGCTCTTTCCTGACTCGCTCTTCGGCCTCGAGGCGTGCATCTTCCTGCTGCCTCTCTGCGGCATACTGTGCATACTCCTTATCCCTGGCAGACTGCCCGTAGTGAGCGGATCGACGCCGCTCAGCCTTGGTGCTATCGCCCACATAGACAGAACCACGCCGTGCGGGGTATTCGGTTTGTGTTTCGCGCGGTGGGGGTGGAGGTCGGCTGATGGACTGCCGGCGAGACGCCTCGTTAGTGCTTTTGGTAGGCCGATGACGGTTGGAGCGCTCGTCGACAAGAACGGGAGGAGTCGACATCGAATGGCGGTGGCTACGAACTTGCTCTACGGTTGTGGTAGTGTGAGCGTGAGGCAAGGAAGGTCGTTCCGATTTCTTCGTCTTGGGCTTGGTCTTGGTGTTCGACTTGGTCTTGGGAGCCTTTGGAGGGGGCATAAGCGCACGGTGGGCCCGTGGGTCATTGGGATTGACCTCAGGCTCAGACCCATAGTACTCGTCATCCTCAGACGACCCAGTTTCCGAATCAGTATCGCTCTCGTGAGCTCTATCGTCAAGCTGCAATGGAGCCGGCATTCGGGGGTGGGTCATCTGAGTCTGGCCGTACCTAGTTGAGTATTGCTGGTCGCGCGGAGCCTGATTGATGACAGGTGGTGCGGGTCCTCGACGTGCGGCATTGGAAGAGCTGCGCTGTGGCATGCCTGGCCTCTGTCCGTCATCGTACGGCATCTGATAGAATTGAGGGGGGTAGCCGGGTGGCATTCCATAGGGCGTCTGTGGAGGACCCATCTGGCCCATTTGAGGCATTGGAAAACCTCGCGAGTAGTGAGCAGAGCTGGAAGGAGGCGGTCCACGCTCTGGGGGTGGGGTAGGATATCCAGGTGCACCCTGAGCCCAGTACTGAGGCCCGGCCTCACCGCCGTAGCTCATGGGTCGACCGTTCATCGACGGGCGTCGACGTGTCGTAGCTGGCTGGACGACAGCGGCTCCGTGTCCGTAGTAGGCCTGGCGATAGTGCGTAGGGGAGGGCGGAGCTTGCTGGTATGAGGCGGGATCAGAATGCATTGAGCGTGTGTCTTGGGGGATTGGACGGTTCACGTCACGAGCGGATTGAGATGGCGTTATCTCAGGGCGACGACGGACAGCTGAGGCAGGGGCGTTGGGGTCGTACTTGGTGCGCCTAGGCTCGGCACCATCCGGTTCAACTCTGCTGTCACGACGATCTCTGCGCTCCGGGCGGGACTCCTGGGTAACGGTCGGCCTGCGTTTACGTTCCGGTGGCTGAGGTTGGACAACAGCAGGAGGCTTGGAGGCAGACGAAGTGGTGCGAGAGGTCTTGGGTCGCGAAGAGGACTTGGAAGTCTTCTCGGTCGTGTCCGTCGGGCGTCGTCGGGCCTTTGGAGCCTCAGGCTGGGGAGGCGCTGGGGCAGCGGCGGCAGGCACCTGGGGCGGGCTGCGCTGGGGAGGAGCACTTTGAGCGGAATTAGTGCTGCTGACGGTGGCGGTGGTGTAGCTGCTGTACCCTGAGTCGGAGCGAAGGTCGATGTTGGTCGGCGCCCTCTCCTGCGCGGGCGGCATTTGTTTATCCAAGTCGGAAGGGTGCGAGCGCTTGGTGGAGACGTTAGCGGCATTGGGCGACCGGCGGCCCTGGAAGGGGATAGAGCCGCCTTCGCTGTCATCCGAGTAGCAGTCCTCGACAGTAGGCTGCAGTTCCGCCATGTTGGCAGCGCAGTAGCAGTAGCAGTAGCAGCGTTTGTTTTGGGGGAGAGAAGACAGGAGTCGGCAAAATATCTAGCGGCTCCAGCAGCGCGCTCTATCGATAATAAAGCGTCGCGGGGCGATCCTGGACAAGCAATCAATCAGGCGAGACGGCGAAAGCGCATTATTCGCACGGGCATAGGGCTGGCTGCTACCGTCTCATCAAGGCGGCGGGGGCGTGGTGTGGGTGAAGGGGAGAGAAGATCAGAGCGAAGAGACGAGGGAGGCAGAGGGATGAGGGATATGCGAGGCGCTGCAGAGTATGACGGGCGACTTGGTGTGCAGCAGACAGGCATGCAGGCGTTGTTCGGGCTTCGACACACGAAAGTTTTCCCCCGCCCGTAAAATTCAAAACGGCGTGGTACTATAAACTGCCTTATAGCGGGCTAGCTCTTTCATGCAATGCGTCTAATCGTTGGGCGCGCACCGCATCCGTCGCTGCCCAGTCAACCTCCAACACCTAGCGGTTGGCCGAGGGGCTGCTCTGCCGCCCTCAAGCTCCTGGCTGTCGTCAAGTGGTCGCTGTCGTGGTGACGCAGCCTCCACACCATACTTTGGGTGGCTGCATGCAGACGCCCTCGTTGCCAGCCGCAACACTGCCATTGCCATGCTGCTGTCTGCACCGCGACCGCGACCACGTCCAGGTAGTCTGCTGGGAAGGCCTGCTCTCCGAGGCCGAGTCTGCGACAGTTTCGCCATGCGTCCACACTGCTTCACCCTGCCGCCATGCCACCCTGATGCTGATCACGTCGTCCGGGTCGTAATAATAGCCTGTCGCCTGGCCATTGGCTGCCTCAGATGCGCAACATCCATCGGTTTGAGTGGTCGTGGATCGTCTCCGTTCGAACGACATGAAACCGGGATTGCCCGGCCCTCGTAGCTGCGAGCCGTTCGCCTGAGAGGGCTGAATGGGCGAATCCACCTCAACGCACCACCTCACCGCCCTCTCGCGCGTCACGACATTCCGTCAAAACCACATCTCAACGCGCTCCTCGCTCGATCCAGCCCTCATGAAAGCTTGTCGCCCGCCTGCTAGACGAAATTGGCGGCCGCTGCTGCTGATCACACCCCGCCTTGGCACTGTCTATCGTGTATTACCACGACGCCCTCGATGCTCTGCAGCATCACACGGTGAACGGTTGCAGGGCAGAATCTCCTAGCTCCATCGAACTTTTTCCTTGCGCTTCCTCGCTTCCTCACGGTTCACGTCATGGAGCCTCAGCACTGCGTCGTTTATTAACAGCTAACTCGTTTGCTCCTGGCTCGGCCACGTCAATCACGCTTACCATGCAGGAACAACAGAGCACTCTCACCATCGTTACCTTCATTAATCTCCAAGACGCGACGCATAACATGTGTCCTTTCGCCACTGCGAGTCCTCATTGTCCGGTGTCAAGCATGGCTGGCGTTGCGTTCTCAGAACCACGCAAATCACAGCCTCCCAGCTCTTGCCCTGCCCGGCACTAACGCACTTGCCAGCAAGACAGCGTATCGGTGTAACAATCCCATCGAATCGCCTCGGACGCAGCTCTCATCACGCGGCCCGTCAAGCGTTGCTTACTCGCCTAGTCATCGACACTACCCCACCAAAGCTTCCGGTGAACAGACGCACCGCATCGAGCAGCGCAATGCCCTCAACAATTCTGGCCAGAACCAGAACAAATGATGCGCCCTCGAATACGCCCAATCCGGCAACCTGCGGCTTCCACGGCACCGCGACTCCAAACGTCACACGCACGACGACCGTTATCGTATTCCGAGGTATTCGCCACTGCTCTCCTCCCTCATGTCCCCCATGCTGTGTTCGACCGGCGTCATGGTACACGGTCTGCAGACAGAGTGCAGCGTCTTGACTTTTCGTCGTTGCTAGATCAAGCTTCAGACATCCGCCATAAACACCCCACCACCAGCTACCATGTGGTGCATCCTTGACAGCTTTGCCATTCGCTCGTCCCGGTCCTGTAAGACGAAATAGTGCAGTGGTCCGTAACGGAAGGGTGGCCGCTCATCCAATGCTCCCACACCACCAGGCATGACGTTGAGTTTCGTGTAACTGTGGCTACCCTTCATCCACGCCTGCGCCAGATATGTGCTGTGATGCTTGATAAATGCCACTCAGAACCATTCGCTTCGGCTCAGATGCAGCACTCTGCGCGACACCAATTCGTGCCGACCGCCAGGTCTTGCAAAGCGCTCGTTACACACATTGAGTGATTAGCCAACCTTCTACGTGACCTCCAGCAAGTTCTGCGGCGGGGTAGCGGACAGATACGGCATGACAACACGCTCAAAAGGGTCTCCGCATACAATCGTCTTCCACTGACGTCCGTTTAGACTCTTGGTGTGACCGGCAGAGCATCGGGGCTGATTCATTTCGGCACATCGCACACGCCCTGCAGACATCAAGATCTTTGGCTTGAAGCCTGTGTCAGATTGATGCGATATCGGCAGCTCTTGTGCCACAGTGACACAGTCATGTGCATGGGAACTGTAAAACGCCATCATTCTTCTCAGGAAAGGATGGTGGGAGTCGATGCTCGAGAACTTGCGATTGATCGTCGACGTAAAGACGCGATGGGCGTTCGATGCCGCCATGCGCAGTGGGTATGCGATGGATGTCAGTATCACTTGCCTTAAGCATCATGCAGGTAATGTACCCACAATCTCAAGATAATCTACGCCACAACCCATCTTACATGAACTCCTGCAAACACCTTATTTCTTATTGTCAGACATTCAAGTTGCACTCTTCGTTATATCAAAATCGTGGTCGCGCCTTCCTAACCATTGTCGTCTCCGCCGTTTGGCTAGCGCTGGTTGGGTGGAGGAACGTGTGGGAACTCGCTAAGCTCAGCCCACTACAAATCCACCATCTCGTTGGAACCCGAGCGAAATTCGACAATGGCATTTCGAACGCTTTCATTTCACCGCGCTATCCAGCTTCAGTTCGTTCGCGCGCGCAATTCCTCTCTAGAGACTACGTTTCCATTAGGACGTGTGACTCACATGCGGCATGTCACTTCGTCTCAGCAATGAATCCTTCGCTGCCCAAAGTGTCTCCAATTGGGTCCCGAACACTTGGTCTTGCGGCTCTCGCTGCCCTACGGACCCACTTCTGGCGCTGACGCCATGGACTTTTGGATCTAGGATGCCCAAAAGACCCACCCAGCGGCTATTGTGGGCGAAAATTCATACCCTCCGCTGTCAACTACAGGTACCACGCGACGGGGGAGCGAAAAGCAATAGTAACAATCCCGAGCTTTTCCATCATGATCTACGAATGGAAGCTTTGAATGAGGACGTCTCGTCGGAATATATCTCAGCTCAACAGCATTTGGTCCAAATTTTGCTGTACACGTGGGGGATCAGCTGTCTGGTCAGGCGTCAGTCCCGGTCTTGTCCAGCTGACGTCACTTGCTCCCCAGATACTCCAGGTGTTTAGTGTCCGTTGAGGCCTGAATGGAGACCCTCATACAGGACTACGGGAGTAGGCCCAGTCATCCCGTGGTGCGTGCGGCAGCCTCGTCAACCATGGGATGCCTACTGCTGAACACTGGCCTCACTAACTACCTCGTCCAACCCACGTCAACCATCGTGCCGTAAGGGAGGACACATCTTGGGGTCTTTCTTCCGTAATGGGGACCATAGCCTTTACGCAGCAAAAGCACACCTCATGTATCTGGCTCACTCATTGTCCGAGGCCGATGAAGCGTCGTGCAAAAGTTCAGACGTGACTGAAACGGAAAACTCGGCATCATACAGACTCACAAAGAAGCTTTCCACTTGCTTCTCGAGATCTTCCACACTCCGGCATAGACAAAAACGGGAAGCGGGGTGCTTGGTGTCGCGACTTCTGTCACCAAGCCTGTCACCCAGTTAGCTGACTCGAGCCGTAGAGTCACGTGATTTTGTCACGACTCAGGTGCGGCTCGGCACGAACATGGGGATCACTGATCAGCGACGCCGGCAACCGCAACACACCCTCGGATCTGACCCCAGCTTTCGGTAAACTAACTACATAGACCTGCACAGACGACATCTTCTTTCTGCATTTCACTTTTCACACCTGTTCATCCTGATACTCATTTTCAGAAGCAAACTCGTCCTGCCTCGGTACGGCTTCGGGCAGCAACCGGCCAGCTCAGCTAGAAAAAGCGCACTGGTTGGCCTTTCAGTAGCGACAGGCTAGAACCATACGATGACCGCCACACCTTGGATGGGACACATTTGCATGGATACCCTTTTCGCACAAGACGTAGTATCCAACAAAGAAAGATTCCATCACCAGACGACACCCCACACCGGAATAACAACAGTAGATGCTGTTTGCAAGACGCATTCCAGCCACACGTAAATTCAGACAACAACATGGCTGCTGGTACCCTTGGCGTTTGGAGAATCTAAGAGGCCATGCGAGCGGAAAGTCCCGTCAAAGATTGTGCTAGTATAACAAACTTCGAAACAACATCCTACAATATCCGCCATTGAATGTCTCAAATCGTGGAGACATGACAGCTAAGATCCGGAAGAAGGGCCGGTGAGACACATGATCAGATCATGACCATGAACAATTCCGCATCTTGTGCAAGACCCAGATGAGTTCAGACGACGACAGCACATTGGCAAAGCTGAAGGCCTATCGGTCTAGTTATACGAACAGTTATATTAACGTGCAGCGGCAGCGTATGTGTAGCTAGACGGAGCACAGTCTCACGCACTTACTTTCGCCGCTCGACCGGAAGGTATCGTCTTCACATGTATCTAGGCATCGTGGAACGCTTCCGCTCGTAGTACATCAACACCTCGATAATCAGTCGATGAGCCAGCGGAAGATGCCCTGCCAGTGTTGGATGGCAATGGCTGTCGGCAAGTTGTCTAGCAAAAGACCTCGATTCGAGAGTCTGGGCCCACGCCACGTGCCCGTAGCGGACTGCGGACACCCCGCTAAATGCTTGCCCAGGCTCCAAACCACCAAAGGCCCACCCCATTTGTCGCAGCCACCTCCGGATTTCCATCATCACAATGACTGTTCACGCGGGGTATAGGCTGGGCGTGACTGTCGGAAACGCCTTGACATGCGCCTGCGCGCTGTACCGGAGTCAAGACCGCCAGAATGCCGGGTCCAGACAGCACTATCGCGGATGCTATGCTGCTTGGAGCTGCTTGGCATGAGTACTGCTAACCGCTGTGGTGGATCGTCTCCGAAGCTATGGGCTTGAGGCTCCGTACCAGTGTCAATTCGATAGGTCGTAGGCGAGATAGCTTCGAGAGCTTGTCAGTATTCAATGCAAATTGCTAAGTTTTGGAGAGTCTGGGGTACGGTGGAGCCGAGGCCGCAAAGAATCTGGGGAAGGCGAGATCAGTAGTCTGGGGAAGCCAATGTGTATATGAGGTCGAGTATCCTACAGTTGTGGTGTTAGTTCTCCTTCATCCTCCCCCATCACAAGCCAGACTTCCTCTTCTATTCTCCCTTACTCCTTGTTGATCTTCTCGTCGTTCATCAAGGTTTACATCTTTCTCCCTTGAAGGGCCTCAGAGGACTCCGAGAGTCTCCAACGACTACCATGGCCTCTTACGCTGAAGAGAAGGGCAACGTCGCCACCCTAGAACGCATCGAGTCCGACACAACCGCCAGCAATGCCGCCATCAGTCGTTTCACACCCGAGGAGCAGAAGAAGATTGTCCGCAAGGTCGATTTTCGTCTGATCCCCACACTCGGCTGCATGTACTGTGTCTCTCTCATGGACAGAACTAACCTAGGTGTCGCCATGGTTGCCGGTATGGGCGTCGATCTCAAGCTCACTGGCGAGAGATACAGCATCATTGTGTTACTCTTCTTCATCACATACGTCGCGCTCCAGCCACCAGCTACCGTTGTGCTGAGGAAGCTTGGTCCGAGACTCTTCCTGCCATCTATCGTCATCATCTGGGGAGCAGTCATGATTGGCTTCGGTTTCGTCAAGGAATGGCACACACTCATCCCACTCCGTCTGCTCCTCGGTATCTTCGAGGCTGGTTTCTTCCCTGGCTCCGCATACCTCCTTTCATGCTGGTACAAGCGATTTGAGCTCCAGAAGCGCAACACCGTCTTCTTCCTCATCGGTATGCTGTCATCTGCCTTCTCAGGTATCCTCGGCTACCTCTTCTCTCTTCTCAACGGCAAGGGCGTACAAGCGGCATACTGGCTTGGTCCCCACTACGGACCCACCAAGAAGGCACCCACCACACCTGTCAGCTTCGGACCTGGTCTCTCAGGATGGTAAGTCCTAACTATACGAAGTGCATGTGAGACATATACTGACTTCGTACTTTCAGGAGGTGGATTTTCATAATGCAAGGAGTCATCACCGTTCTGATCGGTGTCGTTGGATGGTACTTCATCGTTGACTTCCCCGAGCTAGCAGCCAAGCCCAGTGCGACCCAAAAGAAGTTCCTCGAGCAAGACGAAGTGGACTTCATCGTCGCCCGCATCGAAGAAGACCGCCACGATGTCATCGCTGAGGAGTTTAACCTCAAGAGCTACCTCGCGGGCGCCATGGACCTCAAAGTTTGGGGCTTTGCTCTCATCTTCATGTTCACCACCACCATCACCTACGCCATCGCCTACTTCCTGCCCATCATCCTAAAGGACGGTATGGGCTTCAGCCCCGCCGCAGCAAACTGCCTCATCGCACCCCCTTACGTCTTCGCCGCCTTCGTCATGGTTGGCTTTGCTTGGGCAGGAGACAAGTACCACATCCGCAGCCCGTGGGTCATCGCCAACGGTGTCCTCGCTCTCATCGGTCTTCCCATGATTGGCTTCAGCACCAACGTCGGTGTCAGATACTTTGGTAAGTCATTTATCCCCATTACCATCTCTGTACATGCACTAACAACCACTCTCAGGTGTCTTCCTCGCTACCGCCGCTGCAAACGCAAACGTCCCTTGCATCCTCACCTGGCAAGCCAACAACATCCGCGGCCAATGGAAGCGCGCTCTCTGCAGCGCTACACTCGTCGGCGCCGGCGGTATCGGTGGTATCATCGGTGGAACTGTCTTCCGTACCCAGGACGCACCTTCCTATGTCCCCGGTATCGTTGCTTGCATGATTGCGTCGGGTATGATCATTATCATCTCGCTGCTGCTCAACTTGAAGTTCTGGATGGCGAACAAGCGCGCGAACAACGGAGGCAAGATCATTGAGGGCCTTGAGGGCTTCAGGTACACTCTGTAGATACCCATTGTGTTTATGTGGGAGGGGATGATGATATGAGTAATGAATTATTATGTGTTCAAACGATCTGTCGACCTGTCTTGCAGCTCGTGAGATCCGCAAAACTCAACTACCCTTCCTTCCTTTCGCGGAATCCTAAGGTAGCCTCAACGTCATTCCTTAGCCACGGCGACGCCGAAGCGGGATCAAACATGCATGCCGCTCGCCCGTCTTGGCCCTTCCTTCCTCCTTACCTATCTCGTAACGAGCAGCATGGCCTGGAAACGTACCTAGATATTCCTTCTCGGAAGACGGAACACGTCCTCTTGATATACTATAGGTTATGAGCCGGGGTGAGGTAGGGGAGTGATAAACGAGGCGGCGCGGGGATGACGCAGGTACGCAGTTAGACCGTGAGGGAAGAATGATGTGTGAGCGCTCTTTGGTCATAGAAGACATAAAAGACCGACCTTCCCTTTACATCAAGCACAAGATCACATCGCCCGAACATCTACCACCTCTTCAGTAGCAACTGCGACCAAGATGCACATCACCGTCGGCACCGGCTTATTTACCCTCATTCTGCCTTCTTTAGGCCACGATGTCCAATTCTATACCGGCATCCAATGCCGAGGCGAACGTGTCGGTGGAGCAGTCGGCTTGACGCCAGATGATGGTTGTCAGGACGGCAGCTTATACAGTATCAACGCTCAATCAGTCTACATCGCCCAAGGAGATACCGATGAAGACCTTATAATCGCCTTCTACAAGGGCGATAATTGTCCTCTCGAGAACGCTGTCGCAAAAGGAAACGACGGTGCGTGCCTGAGCGTCGGCGGGGCCTACCAGCAGTTCGGTTCCTACAACGCTATTCCCATCATCCCGGCTCAGTTCCAAGTGAATGATAATCCTTCGAAGCTCCAGCATGGGGCTTTGTTTGAAGATGATGATGGTGTAAGTTGCAAGACGAGAGCTATGATGCTGTTCTCTATCCCAGAATGCGATTGCTAATACTGCATGTGTAAAGTCGAATGGCGCCTGCAACAGATAGCAGAGAGTGCTTTTAGAGGCGTTCGTGCGGAGGAATGGTCTTCTACCATGCGCATTGCCAACACACAACCTCTGCCCGAGCTTGTCTACATGCACACCACCAGAGTCGCAGAAGATCCCAATCAGAACTGTGCCGAGAAAGAGTGAGCGCTGTCGCATCAAAGCGGAGTTCAAATCCAGCGTACGAGGTCGAACTTGCGCTTATGCCGCTCGACAACCTTCACCTCGTCTGCACCGCCATCGCTTCATGCCTCATTGCTATCGGTGGCCTTCCTGCGCAATGCTGTCCTGGAACAACCCAACATGCGATCGCCCAGATCGAGCTTCGCTCATCAGCGGGAGTTATCAGCCGTGCCGAGCGGACTTTGCTGGGCAACGTGCCGGCTCCGCTCGCTTATTGAGATGCACGTGACTGGCCTGAAAGTATGCCTACCTAGGTAGGTAGCTTGTCTCCGGTGTAAGCTTGTAGTGCGAGGCAGACTATTCAATATGGTCCTGTTAATGAGATGAAGTAGTGGGCATACGGATAGGATGGCTCAATACATATCTCTGGTTGGCAGGTCCATCTGCTATGCTGCGCGCGTGTTTCTAATTGCCAAGAAGTCAGCCTTGTCCAGGGCTGTGTTCCTGCCTTGACGTAAGAACCAACGCCGATCATCCGGCTTTGCTCAAGTGGTTGATTAAAGTCACTGCCCTTATGTTCTCTTTCCTTGAAGTGAGTGAGTACTCATGTCCTCCTCTTACGAAAACATGTCGACGAATTCATTCGAAAACCACGGTGACCGCGAGGAAAAGGCATCCATCTACGCGCTTTCGCAGCCTATCATCCCAGAACCCGACGCTCTTCCGAACGATATTCGCGAGTTCTTGAGTGAGGTTCTATCTGTCTCGCGCGGACTCTCTCGCGAACATGCAAGCACCATTGCGGACAAGTGGAGGCTTGGCACCGGACGCGAATTGCGCGACTATCCTCCGAAGATGTATCTCGAGATCTTCGGTCCGGAGGAGGGATGGTGTGTGTATAGAGAAGTCAAGAGCAGACTCCTCAGCCTGAAAAACCAACGTGCATTACCTCGTGAAAGTCGCGCTCTCTCAAGTATGTCCCACACATGTCGGCATAACTACGACCATGCGCTGACCAATGTTCTAGTTGGCATAGGTGTTTTCTTCCTGGTAACAGCCTACTACCTGATTCCTGCGTTCTGGTCGTCATCACGTGCGCTACCTGTGCGGGTGATGGCTTTTGTGGCATGCTCTTTATTTGGTGGTGGCGGCTTGATCATGTGCATGGCGGCCGTGTCATCACCACCCACTGTTGATGAGCAGGTCGAGCAGGAGCTTATGAAGGCGTTCGTGGGAGAAAACACAACTTCCAAGAAGTAGCAGAGCTTGGAGTAGTTATGGGTTGATAGAGAGAGCAGCTCCGGAAATTGGACGAGTTCTGCATGGATGCGATCATAGAGACGACCGGGCTGTCTCGGTTAATGCGCGGCTTACTTTCAAACCTTCAACTTTCTTTTCCTCGGTGTGAGACAACACTGTGTCTGGCCCCGCGGAGCAATACATTTCGCTTGACGCCCCTGGACTAACGACCCTTAGGAAATTTTCGTCGCAGCCTCGAGTTCTGGACAATGGACAATGGACGGGTGAGCGGCGTGTTGCGTCGCGCGGAACCGTGCCTGCCGGCACTCGCAACGTCATGCTTACCAGCCCTATGAACGGACCGGACCACCAACAGAGGCCATCAGAACCCGAGAGCTCAAACACCAGAAGGCGCCTGCACTCATTCGTCCGTAAAGCGTATCCGAAGTCATTCGGGCCTTTATCATCCATCTCAGCCGCAGCCTAGCAGGTGAGCGTTTGTGGATGTTATCGCGACAACAATCTGTCCGTCGCAGCTTCCCGACAGTCCTCGCGCCGCGGAAACTACCAAAGTCATTGGAGGAACAACTCTTTTCTCTCGCCCGAAGTACTACGAATAGCGAGCTGAATCACAACGCCTCCTAAACGCGTTATCGCAGCTACCGAGCGCCAGGAACTGAGTTACCAAGCTTTCCGGCGCGCCACTTTTGCCCGCTAGTCGTAGAGCTTGTCCCACCTGGTACCAGATCCGATGCCCAGAACACTGGATAGGCCTTCCAACCCCAAAATGTCGACTCTGGACGCTTATCTGGGAAACGCTGGGTTTTCGCGATGCCCTCGTGGTCTAACACAGGTGCATGGGTCCTTCTCCAGAAAGATTTTCATATCCACATCACCCTGGTCTTAGAGCTCCAGACTGCCGATGCATGGGTGGATCGTATGTACAACACACCACTTAGTCGATCAACGCCGGGATGAGACCTGCCCTCTCAGTACCAACTCCGTTTACTCATGAGTACCGCCGCGGCTCGATGTTGAAGTCCCGCCTTCAAAATGTTCGGGTTAGGGGCTCTTTCGCGCGGTGAAATTGGCCGGACCGACACTGAACCCAAGCCACGTCGCGCTAACACGCGTGGAAATTCGTCAAGCAACGGGCGACGCTTCTAAGATTGTTCCTACCCAGACGAACGCCATGCAGGAACGCTCTTAGCTTCCCATAGTTCTTTGGGATCTTACTTTCGTTCCTGCATCCTACGCCCATTAGTAGGTACCGCTTGGCTCTAAAGCCGGCACCATCAATATTGATGGACAAGACTATCTTCCCAACAGCGGCATCTCATCAGCGATGGGGGTTCGATCAAAACGGATTGCCACTGTGAGGATCTCACACGGCAGCAGCTATCGATTGTGGCTTTTGTCCCCTGGCCTCTCTGAAGAGACCCACCGGCTATCTACCCTGTCAGATGTACCTACGAGTCGGGCGACAAGCGTGAAAGCGGATTTAACGAGATGTCAGATTGTAATCGGGATCCAGACCACGTTGTCGTAGTATACCCAATTCGGTGTGAGCCCCGTGAACCCTTGAGGAGGATCTTCGAGCTTAAGTACCATCTAACATCATGTACTTCCGATCTCCATCGCTCGCTTCTCATCCTCGTCGATTGATCGTCATTCGCTATGCGCTCGTTCGCTGTTGCCGCCCTGCTCGGGCTTGCGGCTGCTCAGAGTAGTGCCTCTAATACCACTCTGAGTTCTACGAGTCGCTCTTCCACATCGCCGACGCCTCTTACAACTACTTCGGCTACCTTGACAGGCCCCAGATCGGTCATCACTGTCGCTACCGATGGATCTGGTGATTACACCGCCATCAATGTAGCCGTAAAGGCTGCACAAGATAGCGGCATCGCCACTGTCTCCGTTCTTCCTGGAACCTACTCCGAGGCCGTCACTGTTATCGGACAGGCTACTGTTACGATCGCCGGACCCTCTCCAACGGCTGCAGATGACTGGTCTGAGAACAAAGTCACAATCGCTGCTACTACCGTTCCATTCAGCATTGGTACGGACAAAATCAAGGGTGTGACTGTCAGCAACATAAACATCGTCAATTCAGCTGCTGTTGGACCAGGAGCCAATGCGGCGACCATTTCACTCAGAGGAAGCAATGTTGCTTTCTATGGGTGCTCCATCATCTCGCCTGGTGGCACTGTAGTCTCTGCTACCTATGGAACGGCCTTCTTCGCCAACTCGTACATCGAGGGCTCGAACTATCTCTTCTACAACTACCCGACTATCTATCTGTACAAGTCCACCATCGTTCCTCTCAGCTCGGGTGCTCTTATCGTGTACAGCAAGGGTGGAACCCCTAACGGAGGTACCTTCACGAACTCCACGGTCGTATTCGATTCGAGTTCGATACAGCAGAAGACTGGATATACCAACAACAATGTGTTTCTGGCGGCCCCGGCCGCCAATGGTTCAGTAGCAATCTACCGGAACACAGCAATGGGAAATTTGATTGCCCCTGCTGGATTTCACCCTTCAGCGGCTACCACTCCGTCTTTCTACGGCGAGTTCGCCACCACTGGTGCCGGTTCTTATAGCAAGAACGCCGCAGCTCGCCCTAGCTACGATGTTATTCTTTCGGCCGATCAGGTTTCTCAATTCACCATCGACAAGGTCTTCGGAAATGCGTTCTACCCTTACGCTAGCTCTTCGCTTGCATGGGTTGATCAGAACGTTGTTGCGTCATTGAAAGCATCGAATGATGCTCAGATTGCTTCCGCTTCATCTGCTGCGTCGACTGTTTCTCCTACAGTGTCTCCATCAGCTTCATCGATGGCTTCGCTGGCCAGTACCGCCAGCGCCAGCTCCATCTCGAACGCTACTATCACTGCTTCCACAATGACCAGTGCTACCCCAGTAGCCTCTTGCACAATCGCAGCCGCGTCTCCGACTCTGATAGTCTCCAAGACACCCGGACCATGCGAGTTCTCGAACGTCACGTCAGCTATCAGCGCCCTCCCCAACGACGGCAACCCATATACGATCAAGATTGGCGCGGGTACATATGTTGAGCAGCTTTCCATCACTCGCAAGGGGAAGGTCACCTTGAGGGGCTTCACCGACTTCACGAATGATTACACGCAGAACAAGGTCCGCCTTGAGTTCTCTAGGGGCGAGCTTACCAGTGCTGGCAAGAACGAGCAAACACCCGTCGTATACTCCAAGCCTAGCGGCGATTCGGGAATGGCTCTGTACAACATCGACTTTGTTAACACCTACCCTCAGACTTCCAACACCGCAGCACTGGCTGCTGACTTCTATGGAGCGAACATCGCTGCCTATGGTTGTTCCTTTGTTGGTTTCCAGGATACCCTGCTTGCTAATAAGGGTACGCAAGTATTCAGCAACTGCTATGTTGAGGGTAGTGTCGACTTCATTTGGGGGTTCTCCACCGCATACTTCCACCAGTGCATGATCGTTAGCAACACGCCTGGCGCTTTCATCTCGGCACAATACAGGGCCACTGCAGACGCCCCCGGTGGATATGTATTCGATTCTTCAGTCATCACATACAGTGCTACTTACGGCAACACCTTCGGTACGACCTACCTCGGCAGGCCTTACAGCCAATTCTCTATCGCTATCTACATGAACTCGTATATCGACAAGCATATCTCTAACGCTGGCTGGACCGTATGGCAGACGAACAACCCTCAGACATCAGGAGTCACATTCGGTGAATACAACAACATTGGCCCTGGCAGCTGGACGGACACAGCCAAGCGGGCGGACTTTGCCACAAAGTTGACAGCGTCTCAGGCTGAGAAGTACACGCTTGCTGCATGGATCGGCAGCACGGCATGGTTGGACATGGATGCGTACAATGCGATCCCTTCGTACAGCCTCACAGGCCCTACGACCACCTCGCCATCACCATCTCCATCCCCTCCAACCAACGGTACCGTGACTGGACCTACTACCACTGCAACTGTCAATGCCCATCCTGACAGCGGTACAGTGCCGCCCCTAGGCGCTGTAATCGTTTCCAAAGATGGCAGCAACGGTGCTGCGTACACCAACATCACTGCCGCACTCGCTTCGCTCCCGCAAGACAAGACCAACCAAACCATCTTCATCTACCCGGGTACCTACAACGAGCAAATCCCGTCAGTCAACCGTCCTGGTGCCGTAAGGATCATCGGGTATACCACCGGCAATCCAGGTCAAGCGTACAAGGATAACCAAGTCACTGTCTCCTTCGCTCGTGGTCTATCGGTCTCCCCATTACCCGTAGGACACTCGAACGCGGAAACTTCCGTCTTTTCTACCGCATCAAGCAGGATTAGCATGTACAACGTCAACATGATCAACACTGACAACCTCGACGGTGCCGAGCCTAACTACGTGACGCTCGCGGGCTCAATATACGGCAATGACATCGCCTTCTACGCTTGTTCGTTTGACGGTTGGCAAGATACCCTTCTGAACGGGGCTACCGCTGGTTACCAATACTACGAGTCGTGCTACATTGGAGGTGCCATCGACTTCATTTGGGGCTACTCCAAGGCATATTTCAAGGGATGCACGATTGGTGCCAAGCGCAAGTCATCGGCCATCACAGCGCATAGTAGGAAGTCGAGCACCGAAATTGGTGGCTACATCTTCGATCAGTGCCTGTTCACTGCGGCTCCCAATGCAGTCGATGATCTCACCGGAAAAGTTTACCTCGGCCGGCCCTACTCCCAGTACGCGCTTGTTGTCGTGAAGAACTCGTATATCGACGCTACGATTATTCCTGCCGCATGGAAGATCTGGTCTGTGACGGACCCACGGACCGATCACATCACCTTCGCCGAGTTCAACAACTCGGGTCCTTCGAACTGGGAGCAGAACGCTGCTGCCCGTCAGTCATTCGGGTATGCTACGCTACTCACTTCGGACACGTACTCTTTAGCTTCTGTCATGGACTCAACAGAGTGGATTGACATGACTTACTTCAACTCGATCGTCACTCC